AGTATCTTGCAGTCGTTTTCTAAATTTCCTGTATCTGGATGTTGACCATTCTAGCAAGGTCAGTGAGATTTTCCTGAATTACTCCCTCAAATCTGTTTTCTAAGTTGCTTTATTTTTCTTCTCTCTCAGGAATACCAACCCATTGTAGGATCATTCACTTTACTTAATTCCATATTTCTCAAAGGCTTTCTTCATTTTTCTAAATTCTTTTTTATTTTTTGTCTGACTGGATTAATTTGAAAGATCAAATTTTCAAGCTCTGAAATTATTTATTCTGCTTGGTCTAGTCTATTGTTAAAGCTTCCAACTGTATTTTGAAATTCTTTCAGTGAATTTTTTCATTCCAGAAATTCTAATTGTTTGGAGTTTTGTTGTTGTTGTTGTTGTTTATTTTTTTTTAATGTAACTATCTCATCTTTCATATCCTGAATTATTTTTCTAGTTTCTTTGTGTTGGATTTCAACTTTCACTTGGATCTCATTGAGTTTCCTTAAAATCAGTATTTTGAATTCTTTATCTGCCATTTCAGGCTTTTCATTTTGGTTAGGACCTATTGCTACAGAGCAAATGAAAGACTTTGGAGGTGTCAGTTCATTCTGGGTTTTTTACTGCTAGAGTTCTTGCACTGGTTTCTTCTCATATGAGGGAGCTATCACTGTTTATTTTTGAATTTGCTATCATTTGGATAGGACTTTTACATTTTGTAATTCTTTTTTATCTTGAGGGTATGTTGTATGTTGTGTATGATGATTTGGCTTCCTTTCTGGGTGCTTTCAGAGGACCAAGGTGCTGTATGAGTCCTTCATTGTGGATAGCTTTTGTGTGGTGGCTTTCTCTACATGCTGCTGGTTGTAGCGATGTATTCAACATAGCAGTCAACACTCTGTCTGCTCCTTGGCTGAGAGTGTGGAAGTCTTATCACATACACTAGCACCCAGCCATTATGGCAGCAGGTGTTTTATTTGGTGGTGGAGTTCAAGCTCTAGTCCAGTAGGTGGCACTTAAGAGTAAGAGTATCTCAACCTCAGGTAGATTGAAGATGAGTGGAAGCACCTACCCTGATGTAGAGAGGTGGAGACTGTGTTGGAGCATGCTGAGGTCTAAAGGTGGCAATGGGTGAAAGATGACACCCTCTCCACAACCTTTCCTAGCCATCAGTGCTGCCCCCTTCACCAGTTGGTGCCACATCCTTCATTTCTTTTGTCCCAAGGGAGAATTTAGTGGGCTGTGCTCCCCATTCCCTTCAAGGCAGCCCACACCACGGGTGAGATCTCTAGGGCTCCCACAGCTCCACAGGAACCCACAAGCCCCCTGTGTTTGCCAGAGACAGAGTGGGTTGTGGGGTATGTTTGTGGAGAATCTCATGGTATGGTGATTAAAAGGCAGAGATTGCCTGGGCAGGGCAATGTCCCACCACAGGTACACTACCAGGATGGCTCAGTTCATCCATGTCAGTTCAGGTCTAAGGGAAGTGTAGGCATGCTTAACATGAGCTGGCTACCTGGTTCTCTGACCCTGAAAAGTTCCCCTAAGTCACCACTGACACCATTGCCCTGGATCCAGAGGGTAGAGGGGCTCCCCAACAGTTTGACAGTCAGTGGATTGTTGCAGGGGTGAAGGGAGCAGAGAAGCACTCCCACCCCCTTACTTCAGGGTTTTGAGTTCCTCAGGGTTCAGTCTCTGCCAGACCCTTGCTGATTTTTTTTCTGTACCCCAGCTTTTTCCCCTGGGCACTCTGACAAGTCCTGGATCTCTTCTGTCAGTTTTCCATTTGGAACATGTCCATTCACAGGTAACTTTGATTTTTCTGAAAAGAATTGGCATTCGATGTCACTATCAGCCATTTTGAAAACCAGCAGCTTGATGGTGACTATTATAAAACAAGGTGAATGTACTCAATGCTACTGTATATGTAAAATAGGTTAAAATGTACATTTTATGTTATATATATTTTACCAAACACATGCAAAAAAAAATCAAATCCTGCTCTGCTTATACCCAGGAATAGTCTTCCATTGTCCCTGGGGTGTTGATGTAATGATCACTCTTAATGCTTTGAGAGAAGTCAGTTCTGTTACTCCTTTCTAAAGCTGCTCTTTCAACAGTGTAGAGGTGAAAACAAGAATATTACCTAGGAATGCCTTCTGTTTGTGTAGCACTTTATATTTGAAGGAAGGCTTTTATGTGGGTAATTCATTTAATCCTCATGGCAGCCTTGTAAGGTCAGTAGTGTTGATCCCTTTTAACGGAATGAAAAACGTGAAGCCTGAGAGATTAAGTTGTCCAAGACTATAGGGCTATTAAAGGATGCAGAGGTTCAAATACTTATCTTCTGACTCTATGGCCATTGATTTCCCAAAGCAGAGAAATAACTGTCAATTTATGATTAGCTTTACATTTAAAATACCAAAAGCTAGGTGATATTCTTGTTAAACTGAATAAAGAAAAGAAAAAGAAAAATTGCATCATTAACTTTCCAGTGATCAAGAAATAATGATTATGGTGAATTTATGCTCTAAATCCTATTAACATATTTGTGGCTTTTTATACCACTGTATTTTCAAACTTTGGTCACGTTTAAAATACTGTTTGGCTTTTTGTGTTTTTAGACTTTAGCTTCTGAAAATACACTTTAGTTTGGGGGTTGGGGGGCTTTTCTTAAAAACCCCTCAACCCCCTAATTAAATTTTTGTTTACAGTTGTAGCTAGTCAAATTTTTATCTAAATTTTCAAAATAAATGTACAATTCCAATAAAAATAAGTAGCCAGGTTGTTCTCTCATTGTTATGCAATAACTATTTCACTTTAGGTCTTAAATTTCATTTTTTATTGCTCTCCTTGGAGTGGATGGCTAATGTAAATGGGAGAAACCTGGCATCACACCATCACTGGTCTTAGTGACTTTATGAGTTCCCCCTAGAACAAATAGCTGGGTCAGTGCAACCTCCACATTCTCAGCATGCAGCTAGCATTCATTTTCTTTTGAAGCCTGCCATAGATAAGTCAACTCAGAGCCCCAAGTTTCCTGCTTCAGAATGCTGACCTAGTAGTTGTCTCTGTCACTGGGAAGATGTGGTACTGTATGAAAGAGGGGTGGCATTGATACCCCCACACTGTGAAAAAGGCTCCCTGAATTTTTTAACTGATAACATAAATAACACTTCCTAAGGCAATATGCAATAAATTTCTCACTGTGGTGGTATTCTGTGAAAGAACTTGAGATTTTCCACTCCTGGATCCTTCCCTCTTTACAGAACCTGTAAAGTCTTCACTGACAGGTTACACATTGAACATTCAAAGAGGTGGCCCCTTTGTTTCCTCTTTCAAGTTGTTCCAGCTACTGTGAGGTGAAAATACTGTACAGTTCAGCTTACCATTGCATTTACTGCACAAATTCTGAATTCAGGTCCCTCACCTCATGTGAAGCTCTTTGGAAGCACTTACTGTACTTTTTTTATTTTTATTTTTTTTTTAAGAATTATATATCATGCAGCTCTAAGATCTTTGATTTTCTTTTTTTTTTTTTAATTGCATTTTAGGTTTTGGGGTACATGTGAAGAACATGCAAGATTGTTGCATAGGTACACACATGGCAGTGTGATTTGCTGCCCTCACTGTACTTTAAAAAGCTTGCAGCATGTTGGGACTCTTCTCTTGTGTTTTGCCATAAAATTCATAAGCCAGGGTTCATTGTGCTGAGTGCAGTGGAAAAATGAAGTCCTTTCACAAAACATGACTCACACCTATAATTTAGGCAACACTCAGGAAGCTTTTCCCTTGTATCTGGCTTATTGCTTCCATTCCCATAGCTTACATTTATTAAGCACCTACCCTGTGTCAGAAATTGTGCTAAGCATTTCATGTGTACTGTGCCATTTAATGCATATCATAGGCCTATGTGATAGCTACTAACTTATTCTCATTTAAAAAAAAAAAAAACATAAAAAGGTTAATCGGGCACATAGCAGGTAAGTGGCTTATGTCAACTCTTTTTTTCCTGTGTCAGTTGTACTGCTGTAACTCAAATAGATGATTGTATTACCTTTTACAATCCCAAATTAAAGAATAGAATCAGGTATGACTTCTCCCAGTGCCTTACACACTTTAATATTCTCTTCTCTCAGGAGGGGGAGGTTCCAATTTTCGTATTATATTTCATATGTTTCAGATCTATCATTGTTTTTCCCTCAGCTTTCTCTTCTGCATGATTCAAACAAATAATAGCAAGCACACTCTTGTTAATATTCCTTCCAAGATGATACTCTCTAATGTCTCAGTTACTTAAGTTTCTTTCAACTCAAACTTTATTTGATTGCTCTATATTCTACTAAGGAGTGAATGATAAAAAGCAGATACTCATTTGTGATTACAAACAAACAGCAAAAAAATCAATGGCAAACAAAAATGGAAAGTTACTTCATGTTTTGAATGAGGCAGACTTTTATTTTTAATAGAAGTAATTAAAACATAAATGGTAATTAAAACATAGAGGAGAATATTATGAGGGCAAGCCTGTTTTTAGAGAGGAGCTTGGTTTCTTCTTGTTCTAACACTTGTGTAATTTCTACAAAATATATTTCAACCTATTAAGCATTAATTGAACGAGACAGGTATTTATTGAACATCTACTTTGTTAAGAATATAGACTCTGTATTTAAAAATGGACACTGTCCTGAAGAGGGCATGAGAGAAGACAAACGTAATATATAATTATATCCAAGACAGTTCATATTAAATGCTCTTCTACCCTTTCTTAAGGTTCTTTAGCAAGACCTGACAATTTGTTCACTAAAACTTGTCTTGAATCTGTCTTCCTCTTTAGAGAAATTTGATTTTGAATTTCAGAAATAGCCTAACTTGTGCTTTAAAGATTGGAATAAGTTTTCCTCCATTTATTGCCTGATTATTGTGATCAATTCTTAAATCTGAATTGAAATCCTGAGAGATGCTTGCATACTACCCACTTTAAGATGCATCTTTATGATCCTCTTATGCCACAGAGTCATCAGAAATTGGGCCTTCCCTCGTGATTCACACCAGTGTCCCATTTGGAGTTACATACTTGGAACACAGCATTGAGGATGTGCAGCAGTTAATCTTCCAGCAGCTGGAAAACATTTTGCCAGGTTTGCCTCAGCCAATTGCTACCAAATGCCAGAAATGGAGACATTCACAGGTAATCAAAGAATCCAGTGGTCTAAGCACAACAATTTTCTTAATAGGCTAACAGAACTGATATTACTTCTTTATCCTTTGCATTCTCTAGTAAAAGAAATTAACTGTGATCTTTGGAGCAAATATGTGTTTGCTCAATACATAAATATAACTTCTACAGGTTTTATTATCCTATTTTTCAACAAGAAGTGTATACAATTTTCACCAATGTTATCTTCAAATTCTAGCATCTCAACACTTACAAACCTTGATATTCTGGGGTCTTCACTTCAGAGAAGGCAGGTTATATATCTAAATGCAGCTGTTTCTTTGGGGTTTTTCTAGATCAGTACTGTGAATATTTAGAAACCACTGCAACCTCCCAAAATTCTGCAATATGTCAAATCAACCTTGTAAGTATATTTTGCTACCAGAATTTTCATTTTTATTAAGTTTCCACTTTGGTTTTGACTGCTGCCAGCCGAGCTCTCTGGGGAGAGAGGTGGGAGGTAAGTACCTGCATAGGACAGCTAGTTGAGCTGTTTTTCATGGTTAGATAAACTTTATGATCACTCTACTAGTTCAAACTTAAAGCTCTTTATACTAAGTAGATATTGAGTTTTTTGAAAATGTCTGCATATTTCAATGGAAGTAAGTATTCACAGAAAAAGTATTTTGATCCATAAACTCAATAGTGAAGTCATTTAGCAGACAATGGGGCAAAGGGCAGATAGAGTAGAAAAAGCAGTGAGTTGTCCATTTATTTCCTGGGATTTCTGAGCCTGTTGATGAAATGATTTATCAGCCCTATTGGTTATCCAGACTGTGAAGCCTTTAGAAAGTGGTGTTGTGGGAAGTTGCAGTTGGTTTTATAGATTTTAAAGGACTTTCTAAAATCAGAGTAAATAGTAAATTACTTCTTAAAATATTACAGCAGGTCTATGTTTTACTCATATCTTCTCTAGTTAAATTATGCAGTGAGCCTTTGGGGAAAATATTTAAACACGTCATGGTCACCTTAGAAGACTTTACTTTTTCCTTTTAAAGGCATTGAAAAACCTGAATAGCTATTATCTTTAAGTGATATTGAACTCAATTTTAAGTTGGCTTGAAAAATAAAAAGTCTACATTGGCTGCAAAACCTGAAAGGGAATAAGTTATCATCCAGACTTAGATGTTTGCATATTCCACTATTCATATACTTCTCATAGTACCTTGAGGATCATTTTACAGAACATAACATTGTCATTTATGGTGGTAATATTACCTAAATTGTGTTTCATTCATATATGTATGAACATCACCTAAAAAAAGAATAATTAATGAAAAGTCTAGCTATTTAATATCCTCATTTGAGGCTTTCACGGAGCTGGTGTTCCCTGCTTCAAGCAATGTTGGTTGGTGTGAATGCCCCATTCTAGACCCCTCAGGCTTGATTCCTCTATTCATTTTATATTCCCCCTTTTTCTCTTCTTTAGTGACCCTTAACATTGCATCCTGCCACTTAGGGGATGTGGAGGGTAGAGAGGAAGAAGAAAAAGGAATGGGTAGAACAATAAGGAGCAGCTATAGTGTGCCAGGCCTGAAACTGGGCAATTCAAAGATGGGATCTTATTTAATATCAAAAGTAGGCTTACAAACGACAATGAGATACGACTACACACCTAGAATGGCCAAAATCCAGCACACTGACAACACCAAAGATGTGGAGGAATAGGAACTCTCATTCATTGCTGGTGGGAATATAAAATGGCACAGCACCACTTTGGAAGACAATTTGGCAGTTTCTTATAAAATCAGACATTATCTCACTATACAATTTAGCGATCACCTCCTTGGTATTTACCCAAGAGAGTTGAAAATTTATGTCCACAAAAAAAGCCTGCACATGGATGTTTATAGCAACTTTGTTCATAATTGCCACAGCTTGGAAGTAACCAAAATGTCCCTCGGTAGGTGAATGGATAAATAAATGGTAGTATGTCCAGAAAATGGAACATTATTCAGCACTGAAAAGGAATGCCATTAACTAACATGGAGGAAATTTAAGTGCATATTATTAAGTGAAAAATGCCAATCTGAAAAAGCTACATATTGTATGATTTCAACTATATATGGCATTCTAGAAAAGGCAAAACAATGGAGACAGTAAAAAGATCAGTGGTTACTAGGGGTTGAGGGTGAGGGAGGAATTACTAGACAGCAGAGAGAATTTCTAGGGCAGCAAAAATTTATGTCTGATACTATAGTGGTAGATAAATGTCATTACTCATTTGTCTAAACTCATAGAATGTACAATACTAAGAGTGAACACTAATATAAACTATGAACTTGGAGTGATAAAGATGCATCAGTGTTGATTCATCAGTTGTAACAAATGTGCCAAGCTGGTAGGGGATGTTGATAATAGGGGAGGCTGTGCGTGTGTGGGAGGGTAGGGGATGTATTAGAAATCTCTGTACCTTCCTCTCAGTTTTGCTGTGAACCTAAAACTGTTCTGAAAAAAAAAATAAAGTCAATTTTAAAAAAGAAAAAATTCAAATTAAAAATGTATCTAGTGGTAAAGATAAACCCTAAATAGATTATTTTAAAAATAGATATTTTTAAAGCAGTCTTATGAGTTTGTTAGTTTTAACTCCCTATAGCAATGAGCACACGAAGCCTCAGAGAGATGAAATAACTTCCTTAAATCCCCACAGCTAATAATGACAAAACCAGTCTACCTGCCTCTCAAGTCCTTCCCTCCTCTTCACTCACCTTCTATTTCCTATTGTTGTAAGGAATTCTCAAAAACTTGGTAGAAAACAACACAAATTTATTATCTTAAAGTTCCGTAGGTCAGAGTCCAAAGTGGATCTCACTGGGATAAAATCCAGGTGTGGTCAGGGCTGCATTCCTTTCTAGAGGCCCTAGGAGAGAATCCATTTTCTTACCTTTGTCACCTTCTAGAAGATGCCCGCATTCCTCTGCTTGAGATTCTTTTCATCTTCAAAGCCAGCAACAGCAGGTCAAATCCTTCTTCCACTCTGACATTGTCTTCTTCCTCACTCTTGTGATGACATTGGGCCCACCTGGGTGATACAGGATACTCTCCCCATCTCAGTTCAGCTGATTCGTAATTTTAATCCATCTGCAACCTAAAATCTTCCTTTCCATGTAACATAGCATATGCGTAGGTTCCAGGAATTAAGGTGTGGATGTCTGTGGTAGGGGCATTATTTCTGCCTGCCACACCCTCCTTTCTCCAAATCCCTTGATGGATCCCTTTATGAGGCATTGTCTCCCTCTTGCTCATAAAACTTCTGAGGAAAGCATCAGCCACGTAAGGTTCAAGCCACCCTAAAGGAGCAGCTGCTATCTACAAAAGATAAGAGGAGCATTTTGTGTGGGGACAGTTTCTTGTTTCCCTGGTGTTGCTCTCCCAAGCCTAGTGCTTTTCCTAATGTCGCATACCCATATCCACAATTGCAGCAGCGGGGTGAAAAGTGTTTTTTCATGTATTCATTTGGTTACTCATTTATTCAATAAGTGTTTAATGAATGCCTACAAGATGCCTAGTACTCTGCTCAGGAAACCCTAGAGACTAGTATTTGCTGAGAGCCTTCTCCTAAGACTAAACTGAAGTTGTCTTGGGTAAAATAATGGTGCCTTCTTGTGGGTGCCACTCTTAAACCATGAAAGAGGCAGGTGAAGAAAGAAGGCGTTTTTGAAAGACTTGGGAGCTGCTTCTGTGCATCCCATTTTGAATTTGAATAAAGCACTTGAGTAGGTGGTTCAAACAAAGAGAAAAGCATTGGCAGATTTTTTGTGGTTCTCAGTTCCTCCCTTTTGCTGCTATTTGCCTTCCATAATTTAAATGTTTAGCAGTTAATATAACTTGATGCTTAGTCTGTTATGCACTGAATTAAGGTTTCTGTAACAAGTATGATATATTAACTCTTTCACTAGAAGAATTACTGAAAATGTCTTTCCATTTACCTTGACAGGGGACATTTAATCAGTTTGATAACCCTAATATTCTGACCATTATTTTATGCTGTGCTTTCCTTTGTTTCAGTGTCTGTCATGATGCCCTTCTCAAACCATAGCAAGCTTCCATTTGCATTCAGGTTTAGCTCTAATTTTCCCCATCCATCTTTCTTCAATTCCAGAAAATGCTAGTGGCCCTTTTCCTTACTTTATTTAGCACTCTCATTTATTACCTTATTTATTTTTTAATCACCAAATGTATATTCAGATACCAAGGAAATCAAGAGAGGAACATAGGGGGAGGAAATGAATACATTGGTATTCTGTATCTTGGAAAAATAAATGGATGTGGACTAGCCTATTAAGCTTCTACAGTACAACTAGAAATCAGTTATCTTCTACAGTTATATATCTTCATTTAGTATTTTGCCCTGAGTGTGTATCTTTTCTCTTCCTTTTCCCTTCCTTTTCCTTCTTTTTCTTTTTTTTCTGCAGAGGTAGGATCTAACTCTGTCACGCAGGCTGGGGTGCGGTACATGATCAGACTGACTACAGCAGCCTTCCTCAAACTTCTGGGCTCAAGTGATCCTCTCACCTCAACCTCCTTAGTAGCTGGGATTACAGGTGCATACTACTGTTTCCGGTTAATTTTTTAAATGTTTGTAGTCATGGGGTCTTGCTATGTTGCCCAGGCTGGTTTCAAACTCCTGTCCTCAAGTGATCCTCCCACCTTGGCCTCCCCAAGTGCTAGGATTACAGGCATAAACCAGTAGGGAGAAGATTCCATAAGTGCTGAGGCAGAAGCCAGAAGCCTCAGCCTATTTCCATACAAATAATGAAGAAGAAAGTAACTAGAAGTATAACCATGGCAGTTATTGGTTATTCTTAGTTATTCATAGGTGATCTTCATTCCTTTATTAATGCCTCTCGGGTCGAAAGTGTGAACCTGGGGTGACATTGTGAAATGAATGACCCTAAGGCAAAACGCTTTAAGCCCTCTGTCATGCCCGCATAAGGGCTGCTGGAGAGTGCCTTGGCTGTGCGGCATTGCCA